TTTTAAATGGTACAACCACTTCGGCAATATTTAAAGTTGAAGACTTGCAATCCGTTGAACACAATACCACTGCTCCTAAGTGCATTTCTCAGAGGCACTCTCACATCCATTCAAAAAGAGGTTTAACGTATGATCCAGCAATCCCTCTACTGGGTATTTACCCCAAAGACTTGAAAACCCATATCCGAAAAGATATTTGCACCCTGATGTTCATAGCAACATTATTCACAGTGGCCAGGACATGGAAGCAATTGAAGTGTCTTACAATAGATGATTAGCTAAAGAAACTGTGGGACATATATACAATGGAATGTTACTCAGCCATAAGAAGAAATGAAATACGGCCATTTGCGACAACATAGATGGACCTCGAGATAATCATGCTAAGCGAAATAAGCCAGAGAGAAAAAGTTGAAAATCACATGATATCACTTATATGTGGGATATAAACCTAAAAGCAACAAATGAACAGGACAAAGAGACTCAGGGACATGTACAATGGACTAGTGGTTACCAGAGGGTAGAGGGTGAGGGAGGAGGAGAGAGGTAGACGAATTAAAGGGGATCGAATATATGGTAGCTGAAGGAAACTGGACTTTGGATGGTAATCACACAATAGAACATATAGATGTCAAATTATAATGTACACCTGAAAATTACATAATTGTATTAACCAATGTTACCCCAATTAAGTTAATAAAAAAAAAAGAATATAAGTACTCATTTCTTAAGATTTTTAACACTATAAGACTACTTGCCAATTGGTTACACAGCACAGCTAGCAGTAACTCTGCTTTCTAATATCACCTAATAATTCATGCTCATTACTGAAATCTGAAATCTTGAGGCTTTGTCAAATTATATAGATCCGAATATTCATCTTTCTATAGAATTTAAATGAGTGGTCTTATAGATGGGAAAAGTTTCAGTCTATACTTCCTGGAAAACGATCCAAAAGGCGTTTAGCAGATGTGTATATACTGTACTTCTTGTTGGGATACATGACCCTTAATTCTATCTGTATATATTTCAGAAAACGTATCAAGACTTGAATCAACTGCTTTGTGAAAATTTAAGAAGCATGCTGAGTGACACTGAATGCCCTTTTCCATGTTACTTTACCATCATGCTCTCTTCTTTTCTTTCAATAATACGAGTTAATGTTACTTGTCTCTAGAAACATGTTTTGAAAGTCAAAAGATAATATTTAATCAAAGAAAACTGAAAATAGCAGAGTATTGAGAGACCTGGTACCAGTACTAATATACATAAACCATTTTAGTTCACTGAGTTACTATAATTAGATCTCACATAAACATTTCATTAATTTATTTAATATTTAGCTTTCATAACATAATGGTAACTATTTAAAATGCATCTTTATTTTTAATACTGTTTTTATTTCATTGTTTTTCCTCTGAATGTCTCCTGCTCATATTTCCTTGTTGTTTGTTTCCTTCTGTAATGAAATGTATTAAAAATCATAATTATTATTATCTGCGTGTCTAACAGCCTAATATCCAATTTCTTTCCAAAATAAAATTAAAATTAAATAACTTCTGGGTCATTTTATTTTATGTTTTTTTTTTTAAAAAAGGTTAGTCCAATTAATTATATAGAGGGACAGCTTTCTAATGGCAGATCCTTCAATTACAGAGAAATAGAGTCATCTCTTAAAATTGATATGTGAAAAGTTTGAGATGTATTAGGCCTTTGTCATCTTACCATGAACACTTCCTAATGTAATATCCCCAGCAGCAGAAGATAGAAATGATGATTCCGTATAAAGATACTTGGCTTTCAGCAAACCATCTTCAGTAGATATATTAACAGAACTTCCCTGCAGTTTATCTACGGTCACAGTCTAGTAAGAGAAAGACTCAAATCAGTTCATTATAAAACAAAGACTGGTAAAAAGCCAAAATGACACCTACAAAATTCATAGGCAACTACATTAAAAGTTACTGCCTAGTACTCGATCACTTTGACTTTGACCCTCTAACTCTATTACAAAATTGTAAGCAACAGTGTATTCTCTGTAGAATGTAGAATAGACCCATTATGTTCCTTCATTTATTTAGATCTTCTTTAATTTCTCTTAATTATATTTTATATTTTCTGTGTAGAGTTCACCTTTATCTTTTCTTAAATTCATTCCTATTTGATATTTTCTAAGTGCCATTATAAAAGATGTATTTTTTCACTTCATTTTATGTTAACTGTTTTTATATTTGACCTTAAATCCAACAACTTCACTAAACTCACTAATTCCAATAATTTACCCAAATTTAAATTTTTTTTCTATGTATATAATTATGTTGTCTACAAGTGATAGTTTCATTTCTTCCTTTCCCATCCTTATATTAATACTGTTTTTCTTGCTCTTTCCTCCCTATCTGGCTCAGGCCTCCAATTCAACAATGAAGAGAAGCCATGGGATAGATAGCAAGCATCTTTATCTTATTCCTGTTCTCAGAGGATAGGCTTAAATCACTATTATTGAGTATGATGTTTGCTATAGATACCTTTTATCAGATTAAAGAAGTTCCCTTTTACTTCAAACCCATTTTGTTGTTGTTGCCGCCGTTTAAATTATGAATGGGTTTTGAATTTTAACACAGACTTTATCTGATTTTATTAGATTATCACATGATTTTTCTCCTTTCATCTTTTAATGTAGTGAATACACTATTATTTCTAGAATTTTTCCACTTTACACCCAATAAGACAGTAGCTTTCCACTCAAAAAAATAGAAGAAATTTTGTATTTATCCTTGTTTCCCTAACAAAATTTAGTATGTACTTATGTCTCAAACACTGAGCACAATGTAAAATGAAGATATCTAATTTAGGATTCCAAATCGTCTTTACAGTATTTTAAGCAAATGTTTATATAGCGAATGTTAATATAAAACTGACATAAAACTGAATCACCAGAAATATTTGCCATGGTTCTTAAAGAAAGAACATCATTGTTTTTGAACACGTGGACATCAGTGTAATATACTCCTAATATGTCCTTCAAAAACTGTTAAGAGCTCAAAATATTTTTAATAAGAATTGAGTTCCAAGAATACTAAAATGTTAGAAGACAAATAAAAATATGAAAAGAGAAAGAAAAGTACCTTGAAGTTCTTATGGGAAGCAAATTAGAATTACTTTGCCCTCTGAATATAAAGAACATAACTCTTTTTCAGTGGACTTGTATTAAATGTATAACATGAACCCAACTGCTTCTTATTTGCTACAGTTTCTTTTAAGCTAATTATGAACTCAAAGGAATTGTTACTTTAAATCTAGTTTCAGTAATTCTGTCAAAGATATTTTACCTACATTCAAATTTGTATGAATACAAATATTTTGCATTCTTCAGTATTACAGTAAAGGTATAAAATTCCTGAAAAATTTACCCTTTACCTATAAAAGTTTCTTTATGAAAAGTTATCTTATACACATTTTCAAATTCTTCAAGTTTCCATAAAGTAGACAATAAGTAGGAATACTCTAGCTTTTTATAGATAGTGAAGCTGTTTTAGGGAAAACCAAAAGGTAAATATCGAAAGAATACTTGAAACATAATTGATTTGGCAAAGGAGCACTTTTAACTAAACTCTCCCCACAACCAAATAAAGCCTTTAACAAACTCCTGAATATCTGGAAAATGTCAACGATTTACTTTGTTCGTTAAACACTAAATATTTTACTTTTTAGGAAGCTAGAAAAACATTCTCTACTGCCCTACCAAAGCAAATGAAAGCAAGTGAAAGTACACCTCCCTCACCACAACAATATAGCTATTTTAACCAATTATTCCATAAAATTAATTTCAAAGAAATTCAACATTCACTGAGCCACATAAAATACATTGTAACAGATACTAACTGGAACAATTAAACTTAGGATACCACAGTTTACAGCAAAATATTGAGGCTCTGATCTAGTTATTAATGCTAATGGAACAAATAGCCATAAATAGACTCTTTGGATTGAACTGTATAGCTTGCTTATTAACAGAAATAGCTATTTAAAGAAAAGAAAAAAAAGTAGATCCAAAAATCAATACCTTCCTGACAGGGATATAAATTTTCTTTGCTATAAATTTTCTTCTACATGAGAAGAAAAACTTTTCATAAATTTGGTTATTATAAATCAACATTACACATAATGAAAACTAAGTTTTAAGGAAGCACTGTGGCTTTGTAGCCCAAACTAAGAAAGATTTATCCACCAATCAGATGAACTGGATTTCTATCATCTCTTTACCAAATAGGATACTGAAATTAATGATACAATTTAAAACAGCCACTGCATATAAAATAACATGTAAAGAATGCTGTTAAGTGTTTATAGTGCTCATTCGATCCTCACAATCTTGTTAAGGAGGAAAAACAAATAATATCATTCCTGTTTCATGAATAATGAAACAAAATCTCAGTAAACTATTAGAACTAGGATTGGTCAAATTATCTTTGTTATCTGTGTTTTATTTACCTGTATCATCATTATAATAAACACTATATTAGAGTTAGCTATGTGTCAGACATTGTTTTAAGTAATTTGTCTCTATTAACGCATTCGATCCTCATAACCACCCTCTGAGTTAAGTACATTACTATTATTCCATTTACCAGAAAAGGAAGACACATAGAAATTAAATAACTTGTCTGAAGTTAAAGAGCTTAAAATAGCTAAGCCAGGATTCAAACCCAGGTAGTTTGGTTCTCAGTTCTGTGCTCTTAACCAATTCACCATGCTGCTTCTCAAATATGCAAAGCACATTTCTATGAACTTTGTATATTAAAAGTTAATACTTCATATGTATTTATTTTATACAAAAAACAAAATTAGAAATATGCTTTAAAAATTAACACTATGTACAATATAAATAGATATATCTAGACTGATTCTTTAGTACAAGACAAAACTCAGGCAAGAAACAAAATAGTATAGCAGAAAGTGCGAATAAATGAATATTCAATAAACCATGAAAGCTGGAACAAATAAATAGTGATTGGAAACAGTGGCTAAAATATTCAAAATAGCAAATAATTAAGAGATGATTTAAATTCTTCTTTGATACTTATATTTGAAGGTCAATATTCTGGTAACTTAGATCATATCAAATACCACAAGCTGTCATTTAAAGCAGGGGTCCCCAATCCCGAGGCCACGAACCGGTACCAGGGAACCAGGCTGCACAGCAGGAAGTAAGTGGCAGGCCAGGGAGGGAAGCTTCATCTGTATTTGCAGCAGCACCCCAGCACTAGCATCGCCGCTTCAGCTCCACCTCAAATCATCAGGCATTAAATTCTCATAGGAGCATCAGTTCCTGGTGCAAAAAAGGTTGGGGACCGCTAATTTAAAGGACAGAAGGAGCTGCGAAGTTGTCCAATTTCCCTTTGCACCTCCAAGACCACAGCGATCTGAGAGGTAAAACTAAACGTCATCTCAAAAGAGCTGCCACATAAGGCAAGGCAGGGTCTTTTAATACTTTCCTAGTTTAATTTAAAGGATAAATTTTAACGTGTGTGTTTAAATAGTCTCCTACAGGTTGATGGTAGAAAATAAAAGTGACGACAGTAGAAACAATTGGTGTTATAATCTACATTGTTTAATTATGCCAACAATATTCTATAAGATATACTCATAACTCCTCCCTATCAATTACCTGAGAATTAAGCTGAGTATGAAATTTAACAAATTTATAACAAAAGATTCTGCAAATTGTACAAATGACTTAGAGCTTTCTCAAAGATTTAAAATATTATCGATCATGTTAAAAAAATGTGACAATTTACACTTTAAAATTATACCTTTACTCTTAATACTATGCTAAATCACAAGAAGCAACAAAAATTGATTAAAAAACACAAAACTATCTTATAACAACCAAAATCCCTATGGGTAATCAAAGCTTTTGGAAAACAGTAATGCTATCTATGGTGCCATCTTATGGAAAATACTAAAAAGTTGAGTTTTGAAACTCATCTTTCAATTGTCTGAACGAAAAGTAAATAGGTCTTGGAAAAATACTCAAACCTAGCATATAAGAAAAATTTAATCCCAATTATGGTGGTGTTACTTAAAGATCAATTTTAATCAATGATCATAAAAACAAAAATCTCTTTAGAACTAGAATATTAAGTATTTAAACATGTTACTAATTCCAAATAAGGAACTAAATAACTGTCGAAAGTATTAAATCACAAACTAAAATTTCAATTGTATATTTAATCACCACAATTTGAAATCTGAATTTAGTAATGACCTGTGTTTTAAAGGACTGCTGTCCTACAAATTTTGTAAGACCACCCAGTGTATAAGCCAACTTGATGCAAAATTGCAACTACTAAAATTAGAAAGTTTCGATCTTACACTTTTATCTGATGCACAAATATCTATATTTCCATAAACTGTTCCCAGACAGATCACTTTGCCTCCTCTTGTTTGAACATGTAATTTTTGACTCTGAAAGACAAATACAAAAACACATAGAAAAAAAGAGAATAAATTTGACTTATACTAATAAAAAATTTCTAACATTTTATACTTTTTAAAGAATTAAAAAAAGGAAAATAATAATAACAAAAGAAGAACCAGGAATTAAATAAACTTGCACTGTTTAAAATAATAACATCAACTAGAAAAGAATGTCAACTGCTGTTAAAGGGATTAAATAAGCCATCTGAACTCAAAAGGAAAAAGAGCTACTTGGGAGTTCCAGCAGTTTCACTGAAAAAGAACTTAGGAATCAAAGATCACTGTAACTAGCTAACTAAACATAAATGGTGATAAGGATAACAATAATCACTGTTACTGTTCATCATTAATACCAGTAATATTTATCATTTATTTGGCATTTTCAAATACAATGTTCACTACTTTACATGAACTATTTTTTAATCCTCACAACTCAGAGAAAAGAGTATTATATTTTCTCCATTATAAAGAAGAAATCTGAGAACCAGAAAAGATAACCCTATGAGGTGACACAGTTAGAAAACAACAAAAATCTGACCTAACAGAATCGAGTTCTATATAATTTCAAAACCCACACTCTTATGGCTGGAACCATCTAAAGAAGGATACAGTCACAGGGTAACAGTCCCCTGACAATTTTCTAGCACAACAAACCCCAGAAACTGGAACTAAGTGAAAATTCCTCTAAGCACAAATAAAACAGCCATCATAGTTAGCCTCCTCTGCCAGAACAACAACAACAAAAAAAAGTGTCTGTGACAGGGAGAGAGACAGAGAAGAAGAAGAGAGAGACTAAGACTTGATTTCACCCTTGGCAACTGTGGCAGAAACTACTATAGGCCCACAAAAATCCACTTTTCCCCCAAAGTAATAGTATAGCTGGCCCCATGAAGAGATGATATTTTCCAGCTTCCCTTACTCTTTAGGTGTTATGTTTCCAGGCTGGTGCTTTTAGAAGAGTCGGTGAGCCTTCTCTGTGCTCTGCCTCTTTCACCAAATGAGTGCAGATTACAATAAGGCTCTATGAGATGTTAGAGCCAGAAGATGAAAGGAACCTAGAATCACTGAATAGAAAAGAGCCACTCACAAGTGAGAAATAAACTATAGGTGTACATGAACCATTATATGTTTGGTCTATTATTTAGAATATATTACTTTACTTTAACCATTTACATATGTCTTCAGTTCTGCCTAATTATAAAGAAAAAAATAATAGGTAAATAGCAGAGGAAAAAAAATACAAAAGCAAACTCACCAATATTACCATGTATTACAGCATGGTAGACTACTTCATGTCTACAGAGACATAAGTTTGAAATCAAATTGTATATAATAGTCTTTGTCAAGCAGACAAGTAATTGATGAACTGCAGAAAAGAGCATCTCCAAAACAAGGTATTCTGTATCAAGAGTTCTTAACCAAGCCTACATAAATTTCTACAGTCTATGAAACTTATGAAATTGTAAGCAAAATTTCATATACATGTGCATTTTTTTTCTAAGGGGACAGTCATCAGGTTTTCAAAGAGGTCTAAGGCTCAAAAATGCTAAGAGCTATTGTTATAATTTAAAGCTCATCTAATTCCAAAAAATGTGAAGTAGATTACAAAATTTTAAAAAATATGTAAAAAAAATAGTTAAAATAAATGTTTAAATCATTAACTATTTAATATAATATAATATAAACTATTATGCTGCACTAAAAAATGCAAATGTATGGCATTCAATGAGTTAAGGGTCTGTTGCCTAAAAAATTTACTTAGTTATTCCCTAAGAGTGCTGAATAAATGTAGTACTGCCATATGTTTTGCTTGGATAATAAAGAAAGGTGGAAAGAACATGAGCTTGAAAATCAGAAAGACCCAGGTTCAAATCTCAGTTCAATTTATTAGCTATATGAACCTAAATGAGTTCCTCAACCTCGGTGCCTCACAGTTTCTTCCATGATAAAAGGAGATAATTCAAGGATTAAATGAAGGCTTTCTGTACATAATAAGAGCTTAGTAAACAGTAGCTATTATTATTGCTATAAACATTTTATTACATAGATTATATTTCAAGTCCTTAAAATGAGTGGAAGAGAAACTTGTATTAATAGGTAATGACTGATTCAAGATAATGATACTATACCATATTTAAAACTTAAACCAGATATTTTACCAAGTGTTTCCATTTGTGAATTTAAGTCAGTTAAATTTTAAGATCTCAAGAATAAATCTCTTAACCCTTGATATATACCAGTAGGATCCACTGGACTCAATTTTAGTTCCTGAATTTCTTTTTTAGCTATTCAATTTGTAAGGACAGATAGTTATGACTTTTATTCTTTCTTATGGGTCTTCTAAAGTACAAATATAAAATTCACTTATTTTGAAAAAACAATAAAACTTATTTTATTTTAAAATTACCTTATCAGTCCACTGAACTCTTTTGTAAATCTAAACTACATTACAGGATTTTTGTGTTCTTATTTTTCATATATCTTATAACATTTAGCTATTACATTATCCTAGGAGTTATTTCATCATTAGTCAATTATTCCCAACTATACTAAAAAGAACAAAAATCATAAGACAACAGAAGAATGACGGACTTGCCTAGAATGGTAGTTCTCATTAATGGTGATTTTATTCCCAAGAAGACATCTGGCAATGTGTGGAGATATTTTTCACTGTCATTACTGAGGAGTGTTTTGTTATTAGTCAGTAGAGGCCAGAAATACTGCTAAACATCCTACAATGCACAGGTCAGCCTCTGACAACATAAAATTATCCGGCGCCAAATGACAATAGTGCTAAAGTTAAGAATCCATTTTCACTTTACACCCACAATGGCAGAAAGACAAAAAGATCTTTCAGAATTATCAGATGAATCAAAAGATGAATGACAGCAGAATACTAGCTTCTAATTTTGATTGTGAAATTGAAAATCTAAGACTTTGAGTCTTCAGAGGACAATATTTTATATGAATTTTCTGAAACTCGAGCATTAATGAGTGAACAATTTCTAAAGAAAAAAGAACTATGGTATTCTCACCCAGTTGGTCATTCAACATGAAGATTTCATTATACAACCTTTTACAACAAGGACCTGAACCATCTCATTGTGCTAAAAGGACATGTTACAGTATTCTTTCATCTTTAATGATATTTGGGTAACTAAATTTATTTAAAATGGTTCACATGTAGACAGATGCTAAAGGCAGGTGTGCAAATAAAGGTGATTAGAACAAAACAAATAACGTAAAAAAGTTTAAATATATTAATCATCCTGATTAGTTTATGAATCTGAAAATGAAAACGTTTTGCAATTATGAAGTAAAGATGACTGACTTCTCTTCAACAGTTACCTGCCATCAAAGTTCACAAAAGTATTGTGTTTTGAATATAAAAGTGTAAAAATTACCAGTGGTAAGGATAAGCTAGAACCTATCAGAGATGTACTTGACATCATTTTGAGCTGAGACCCATTTAATTTTAAGAAAATTAAATATAAAAATGTTATTGCAAAACAAGATGAATCATTTGGTGTTTAGCACAAATACCTACTTAATATTTAAGTAATGAGCTACCTGGTACATTAAAAATGTGATTTAGTATTCTTAAAATGTACTATTAGTTTCACTGTACACTTCAAAATGAAACCTAAAAGGAATATGAGAAAAAAATCCTTCAAAGTTGTTACAACCTCAATACTTGCAAAACAGAACTGATTTCAAGGCAAAATTTTTGCAACTAATTTCTGAGTGATGAATAAATGATACTCAGTATTCTCAATAAATGATACTCGAGTAACAGCTTTAATTTCAGATGGCAGTTCATAGTTTAAGGGTTTTTTTTTTTAATAATATTAAAACAAAATTAGAAAAATGCTTATACCTTAACAGACTGTAAGATGCTAGTTCCATGCTCAGTTTCAATTTTGCAATTATCACATTCAATATTTTGGACTTTTATACAGCCAGACCCTGATGACTTGATATTCAAATCTAGAAATGAAAAAAGAAAAAAACAAGTTAGTACTACGGCTAATGGGCTCCAAAGCATTTTAGTACCCCCCTAGAAATCCAGCTCCTCTGTTATGTCCATATTACTGAACCCTGGAGACAGTATAGTTGTCAGCAGTCTCTTTAAAGGTAAGGGGTCTCCACCATGGCAACAGGACCAAACATAATGTCCTTTTCTGCCAATTTTTAGAAATAAAGCAGTTATTTCTGTTGGCCTATATCATCTAAAGAGACAAAGTAACATAGGAGGGAAGTAGATAAGGTCAGTAAATAACTCTAAATCTTACAGGCACTCTTGGAAAAGATTAGAGAAGCTTCTTTTCCACTGAGAACACATAGACACACACACGAGTAAGAATACAGCAAGTTAGTAAGTCATTATAGAAAACTGGATAAGTCAGCCTAGTCTCTTTTAAACTCATGAAGATTTAAAATTCATTCTCAAACCTCCCCCAAATTAAAAGCATTTTGCAGGAGTAGCATAGATCAGTATTTTTGACCATGACTTAGTATTTTAAATCTTATCTCTAATCTTACATATCTAAAAAATGAGGATATTACAATGCAGCTCTATCACAAGGTATTTGCGGTAATAAAAAATGGGAACAACTTTGAAAAACCTAGTACTAAACGTTATTAAAACTTCAAAATTGTGGATTAAGAACAGTATTATCTGAAGAAAACTGAAAAATAAGGAGTCACAGGTACCATTCTTGGCTGTCAATTTAAGGCATAACCTTAAGTGTCTCTGTAAAAAATTTTTAAAAACTGATATTTAATACCTAATTGAAATAAGTAGTGATGATTTCCCTTAAACTGGACTAGAGAAATAAATACTATGTTGCCCCAAACACAAACTACTGATTTCTCTTAAACTAGACTAGAGAAGTAAATACTATGTTGCCCCAAACACAAACTACTGGGGCATTACATCAAAAATTCAATAGTTAGGGCATAAAAATCAATTTTTACAGTTGTATATATCACAGTCTCTAATCTATAAAGATTTAAAATAATAGCAACATTTTGATTGGGATTAATCTAAAATATATAAAAAGACCATTTTACCCCATACTTACATGGATGCAAATGCAACTGCAAAATTTTTATCCAGTTAAGTAGTGTTCAACATAAGGCTTGATCTAAGGCAGGGTTGATAGACATGGAGAGAAGGAAACAGATTCTAAACATACCCTACCATCACTAGATAGGTAGAGAAATTAGGGCTAGACACTGAGTGGTAGTAATCCTACTCTCACCCATCCACTGAAATAGGTATAGACAAACTGAAAGAACAAGTATGAATAAAACTGAATTATGTTGATTTGAGGGGCCCGTGGAACAGACGCAAGGAAACAGTAAATTAGAAGTGGGGTTCTGGCTCTAAAAAGTGGAATCAACAAATAATGAGATTTGAGATCGCCAACACAGGTAGTTCCATTTTTACCTGTGCTGCCATAAAATTTTGTGCATCTCTATTTTAATACTCAGTCTATTGGTACTACAATAGTATATTGGCAAATCTTCCTCCCTAACCCAGACTATTACATTTTGAGGTCAGGGTTTCTTCTTCATCTAAACTAGTTAGAAGTTGAGAAGCAATAAAGCATAGTAGTTAGGCAGATTCCAGTCAGTTCAAATCCCAGTTCCACCAGTTTATCTTTGAAAGCGAACAGGCATATTTCTTGATCTACTTCCTAGAATGTAAATTTCATGAAGGCATGGATTTTTTCCTGTTTGTTCGCTCACAATAAATATTCAGTGACACTTGCTGTATCTCAATTTCCTTATATGAAACAATGACAATAACAATATCTATTTTATAATGCAATTGTAAGGATTAGAAAAGATTATCTTAGCAGTGTTAGCTGCTATTATCACCAACAATAGCCTTCAGTATCAAGAAGGAGAGGAGTCTGGGGAGACTTTCCTACAAAAGTGCTGGCTTGCATTTGAGAAATAACACACAGCCCAATTACCTAGGAAACATCCTGCAGACATTAACAATTGGAAGTTTCCCAGGCAGTCTTACTACGTGTTTTTCTTCAAAACCTTCTACTCATGGAAAATTTACTTAGGCCAAAATGAATGGAGACATCAGTTAAGCTGGGTACCTATTTGAAACCAAATATTTGGTCCAGGTTAGAAATGGAACACCCAATAGGCAGGGCTATTTTGAGACATTCCCCAGACTGTGAACAAGGGAAAATGTGTATGGACTGCCGCATCATTTAAGGGATTATCAAAAAACATCAACCCTGAAAAATAAATCACTTTGCTATTGACAAGGTGCAGTGACAGATATAGGAACAAAGTGCCAAAGGAGAAAATAAGGTGCTCCACAAATGTTATTTCACGTAGATTATTCCAAATCATGTTTCCATTGATTCATAATTTCTACAATTGGGAAACTAATTCGTAACTACTACTCGGACACTCAAAGTAGGGCAGAAAAAAAGGCAGCTTCCGAAACGGGAAACTGTAAATTAGGTTAGGAAGTCAGATCCAAACGGACCAATTAAAAGTGCATGTCGGCCTAATTTAAGAAGGTCGCTGGGTGTGCCCTGGGACCCAAACCCGTTTTACTGTCACTTGCCAAACTTCAGGGGTGCGTTCACCTCCACCGTCGCCTGGGGATCAATGGTGTCAGACACGATGGCCACCTCTTTCAGCGCCTCGTCGTACTTCACCTGCAGGCGGGCCGGGTCCTGCGCCCCACCCTCCACTCCGCTCACTGCAACTAGCACTCGGTCGGCGTCCGGGTAGGTAAGGGGGTCCAGGGGCCTCACGGACAGGTGGCACGGGAGCCGCGCCCGCAGCCGACCGAACGGGCTCACCAGCAGCGCCCACTCCTTCAGAGTCCGGCCTGCGGGGCCAAACCCAGAGACCTCGGGGTCGGACCCAGGCCAGCGCTCGTCCGGACCCGAACCGTACAGCCGGGTCTGGCAAGCCCGACAAGCCCAACGCCCCGCGGCTTCAGCGGTCCACACTTGGAGCTGACCGAGCTGGAGGGAGCCGAGCCCCCAGCCCCAACGGGGAGCGAACATGGTGTGCCCCTCTCGCGCTCCCTCAGATCATCTCAGCCACAGGCCAAGTCTCAACTTGTTACTGCGTCGGCTCAAGTAAAAAGGGAGACGTTTGCGAGGGTAAGTTGAAGTAAGAAGAAGACGGCTCACTATATCCCGCAATTGAAACCTTAGCCCCACAGTACTCAGCGACAAGTTGAAATTTCGAAGCTCTTAAGTTTCCACCCTGACCCGGACTTCTCGCCTACCACCTCCCCTGTCGCAAAGACCGACGGGATAGGTAGTTCCAAAGGGGAACAAACGGCGAAGGGTTCTAGGCCGCTCAGATCAGAAACTACATATCCCAGGAGGCAATGCGCATGGTAGAAAGCGTAGTAAGTGCTAGATTGTACTCGGAAAAAGCGCGTCCTTTGCTTCAAACCCATTAGCCATTGGAGGGACGGAAAGGAAAATCTACATAGGAATTCAACTGGCCAATGGAAAGCGCGGAGGGGGCAAGGTGGGCAAGACTGCGTAGTTTCCTTGGATACCGAGGACGCGACATTTTTGGAGAGGGTAGAGCTGTGAAGTGAGATCTAGAGAAAAAAAGGAGCCTAAATAAGGATCAGTACCAAGCGAAGGGATAAGAAACGGCATTTTAAAGGTGAGAACTAGATGCAAACCAGGAGTACCGTTAGTGGGTGGTTAGGTCCAAACTTCACTAAACCAGAACCGGGTACCCTGGGATGGAGAATCCGTAGGGAAGAGGATAAGGAGCCAGACTGGTACTTTTTGAGGGAACTCTCTGACAACAAATATAGGAATACCGTTAGAGTCCTTCCTCCTGATTCTAAGTGATCTTGGGCCAGTCATTGGATGTTTCTGAGTTTTAATTGCTTGCTCTACAAATGAAGTCAGTAACGTCTTCCTTGTCTTGCCTCAAAGGGTTTTTGTAAGGATCAAATGAGATAATGGACCTGAAGGCCGTACACAGGCTATGAAATTGCAACGTAAAGTACTGTATTTTTATTTTAGGGATAACATTGCCTCTAAGTTACGAAAAGAAAATCTGAGAGATCAGGACTTGTGTTGTCAGCAGCATTGATCTCTTTGAATACAAATGATCCTCGGTTTTAGAGATAAAATAAGATACAAGAGGGAGAGGGAGGGAAGGAGGGAGGTAGTCAACATAGTGCAATGGAAAGAACATAGGACCGATTATTTTCCTTGCTCTGCCACTGGTTTATGTGTATCATAACCTGGACCTGTTTCTTCAACTTTAAGATGAAGAGGGATTATGCTAAATGACTCTAACTTTTATTATTCTGTGGGCAATTTAAAAAATGAAAGAAAAAAAAAGATTTAGTTCCTCCTTTCCTGCTTATTTCTCCTTTTCTGTGCCACTTCCTCCTCCTACGAATTATTCCCTAAGTTCTTTAAAAAGACAGTGCAATGATGTTTAATAAAATGCAAATGCAGAAACTGAATTCCTTAAAAAATTGAAGCCCTTGGCCAAGAGCAATGCAGAATAACTGGGAGATATAGTGAGAGAGATGGGTTAAAGTCCTTACCGTCCCAAGTCAGAGTTCTTTGCTAGCCATTACCTTTTAAAAAATTCATTGTTTTATTAAGTTATTCTTTCCTTTCTGTCCTCCTGTTCCTTCCTCCCTCCTTATTCCTCCTAGTGAAGGCTCACAATAGGTACTAGCTTTTAGATTAACCAGGTTCCCACTGAATGCTTGTTCTGTCCTTGGCTTTGTGTTTCATTTGGTCAAAATTATTCAGACGAATCTTCAAACTGTCTTTTTAGTGAAAATCCACAGGAATGATTTTGAAAAAGAATTTTAAAAAGACATTGGTTTAAGCAAATTGAGGATGTACTCAAATTTGTTGCATATGTTCCAAATATCTTTAGATTAAAAGGATTCTATAATAAATAATTTTGTTTCTATGGTAATTTTTCCTTTTCTGAAACAAACTAAGTAAATAGAATTGGCAACCGAACCTTTATTGTCTGTGTGGCAAAATAATTGTTTTATTATTTTGAAGTAAACATAAGAATAAAACTAAATTGACTAAAGAAATTACTTTTCTGATCATATGAGTTTAAAACTGGGGAAAATTATTGATAATTAAGATTGATATAAGATATGAAAAGGTTACTGATATTTTTTAATAAAGTTTATTGGGGTAACATTGGTTAATACAATCATATAATTTTCAGGTGTACATTATCATTTGACATCTGTATATTCTATTGTGTGTTCACCACCCAAAGTTCAGTTTCTTTCAGCTACCATATATTTGATCCCCTTTACCCACTTTACCCTCTCCCTATCCCTCTATGTTTGACTCCCTTTACTCTGTCTAGCACCCTCCTCCTCTCCCACCCCACCAGTAACCACTGGTCTGTAGCCCCTGGTAACCACTAATCCAGGTCCTCATCCATGAGTCTCTGTTTCTTTGCTCTGCTCATTTGTTGCTTTTAGGTTTATATCCCACATATAAGTGATATCATGTGATTTTCAATTGTTTTGTCTGGCTTATTTTGCTTAGCATGATTATCTTGAGTTCCATCCATGTTGTCACAAATGGCAGTATTTCATCTCTTCTTATGGCTGAGGAATATTCCATTGTATGTATGTACCACAGCTTCTTTACCCAATCATTTATCGTAGAGCACTTCAGTTGCTTCCAGGTCCTGGCCACTGTGAATAGTGCTGCTGAACATCAGTGTGCATATATCTTTTCGGATATGGGTTTTCAAGACTTTGGGGTAAATACCCAGTAGAGAGATTGCTGGATCATATATGGTAGATCAATTCTTAGTTTTTTGAGGAACCTCCATACTGTTTTCAATAGTCGCTGTACCAAATTGCAGAACCACCAGCAGTATATGAGGGTTTCTATTTCTACACATCCTCTCCAACATTTGTTATTACTTGTTCTGTTGATTATAGCCATTCTAACAGGTGTGAGATAATATCTTCTTATATTTTTGATTTGCATTTCCCTAATAGTGATATTGAGCACCTTTTCATGTAACTAGTGATTGGCCATCTTTGATCAGATCATTTGTTTTTTTTATTGTTGTTATTGAGTCGTATGAGTTCTTTGGATATTTTGGATATTAAGCCCTTATCAGAGGCATTGCTTCCAAATATATTTTCCCATTCAGATGGTTGTCTCTTTACCTTGTTGATGATTTCTTTTGCTGAGCAGAAGCTTTTTAGTTTGATGTAGCCCTATTCATTTATTTTTGCTTTTACTTCCCTTGCCTTTGAGGTCAAATTCATAAAATCTTCTTTAAGTCCAAGATCCTTGAGTTTCATTCCTATGTTTTCTTCTATGTGTTTTATTGTTTCAGGTCCTTAATCCATTTCGAGTTAATTTTGGTGTGTGGTGATAGACAAGAGTCTAATTTCATTCATTGCAGGTGGCCTTCCAATTTTCCCAGCACCATTTATTGAAGAGGCTTTCCTTTTTCCACTGTATGTTTTTGGCTTTTTTGTTGAAAATTATTTGCCCATATAAATATGGGTTTACTTCTAGACTCTCGATTCTGTTCCACTAGTTCATGTGTCTGTTTTCCTGCCAATACCTACTGTTTTGATTACTGTCGCTTTGTAGTATAATTTGAAGTCGGGGAGAGTGATGCCTCCAGCCTCATTCTTTTTTCTCAGGATGGCTTTTGCAATTCAGGATCTTTTGTGCTTCTGTACACATCTGATGATTTTTTGTTCTATTTCTTTAAAAATTACGATGGGATTTTGATGGAGATTGCATTAAATCTGTATAAAGTTAGGTAATATGGTCATTTTAACTATGTTGTTTCTTCCAATCCAAGAACACAAAATATTTTCCATTTCTTTGTATCTACTTCAATTTTTTTATAGAGTCTTATAGTTTTCATTATGTAGGTCCTTCACGTGTTTCGTTAAATTTATTCCTACGTATTTTATTCTTTTTTGTTGCAATTGCAAAAGGAATTATTTTTTCCACTTCTTTTTCTGACACTTCTTTGTTAGAGTATAGGAACACTATGGATTTTTGAACATTGATTTTGTATCCAGAGACTTTACTGTTGTTGCTTATTGCTTCTAGCAGTGTTCTTGTGGAGAAGAAGTAAACTGTCACTTTGACAGTTTCCTTCTTCTAAAACCCTAAAGAGGGTTTTCTGTATAGACAATCATGTCATCCGCAAATAGTGACAGTTTTACTTCTTCGTTTCCTATTTGGATGCCTTTTATATCTTCCTCTTATCTGATTTCACTTGCTAGGACCTCCAATGTTATATTGAATATCGGTGGCGATAGTGGACAGCCTTGCCTTGTTCCTGATCTTAGGGAAAGGTTTTTAGTTTTTCACCATTAAGTATAATGTTGGCTGAGGGTTTGTCATGATAGCCTTTATTATGTTAAGGTACTTTCCTTCTATACCGACTTTGTTAAGTGTTTTTATCATAAATGGATGCTGTATCTTTTCGAAGGCTTTTTCTACATCGATTGATACGATCATATGATTCTTATTTTTGAATTTGTTTATGTAGTATATCACATTAATCGATTTGCATATGTTGAACCACCCCTGTGCCCCTGGGATGAAGCCCACTCGATTTGTGTATAACCTTTTTAATATGTTGGGCTGTATTCGGTTTGCTAGTTTCTTATTTAGGATTTTTGCATCTGTGTTCATGAGAGATATTGGTCTGTAGTTTTCTTTTTTTGTGTTATCTTTACCAGGTTTCGGTATCAGAGTAATATTGACCTCCTAAAATGAGTTGGGTGGTATTGCCTCCTCTTCGATTTTTTGGAAGAGTTTGAGGAGAATAGGTATTAAATCATCTTTGAATGTTTGGTAGAATTCACTGGTAAAGACATCTGATTCTGGACTTCTACTTTTTGGTAGG